TGCAAATTTAAGTATGGGGTATCTTTGGCCACTTCTATCACATTAGACATAAGTCACTGACTTAACACCAGTTCATATTTGAAAGACTTGTTTATATAACTAGTTTGCTATCATCTCCCAGTGAAATGCAAAAATGGTACAGCAAACTTTATTTTGTGGAAGGTGTTGATACTGCATGTATTTAATGAGCTTCATAGTCTTAAAGATATTTTCAACTTTCAAGCTGGAGAAATCCAGCTTTTGATGCTGCTATTATTAATCAGTCTTCACAAGTTTACACCAGCTGATCCACTGTATTGTAGATACTGACTGTTTCACAAAGATGTGCAATTTAGTTACGAGTTAATAGAGGAACTAATGATGCGATAAGTTCTTACGTATTCCTGTTGGGCTGGCTGTCCTCATTTCAAGTAGCTAAAAGGGTATAGTTTTCTAATGCTGTTTTTCCTTAAAAGCAATTACAGCTATGTAAAATGTCAACAAGGATGGATTGAGTATTAAAATGACTGAAAAATTTGCGTCCTTTGGAGGATAATTTTTAATACTATTCCACTAGATATAATCAAAGTTACATTGTTTCATACAAATAGTGCTTATCAGGTTTAATACCTTTTTTTGTTTGCTGGTACATGAATTGCTGTTTGCTCTGAGTTTCAGCAGTATCATTTAGAGTGATACTCCATTCTAGTGGAGAATTACCTTTCTTAATGATTTTAAACAGGATGATTGATGCATCTTCAGAACTGTTCAGAGGCCTACATTATTCATATGTAAGTAGTTCCTTGGGACAGTTTAGGAATCAGTCTGTAAATAAAGTAATTGAAGTCTCATAATAAATGCGACTTGACATGCCTCATCAGTGCAGTTGGGAAATACATGAGTTCTGTTCTAAGCAAATGCAATCCCATGGAAAATATGTATTGGAAGATTCTGGAGCATTCTGTGGGATTGCTGTTTAGGCTACTGAAAATTCATTATTAGGCAATAATTTTTTGATATATCTAGTAAGAATTAAACTTGAACAACTAAATGATAACCATCATATTAAAGTTCCAATGGATAACATAGTAGGCCTGGCTTGTACCCAGAACTGTCTAGCCTTGTTTGGACTCCTTGCCAGCACCATGCTGCATGGGGTAATCCACATGTGCTCCGTATAGAGCACAGCAAGTTTGAGAGGGGAAAAAAAAGCTTTTACTGAACACCTCATTGCTGGTCCTTCAGGGTTTGCCCATGACCCTGAACAGTTCACAGGTCACCAGTACTGCAGAAGCTGACAAATGCATTTACTGTAGTAAGCAAATCCAGTAAGAAAAGTAGAATTATTTATTCTGGTCACTGTTTAATGACAACAGCTGATATGAGTTAGGTGCTGAATTGCCCAGTGACCAAGAAAAGATTCCAGCTAACATTAGTGCTGTTATTTAGTGTGACAATTTGACGGCAATCAAGATTTCTTGATGCTTGCTCTGTCGTGACTTTCATCTTGCCAGCTTTGAGGGTGGTACCCTGGCATGTGGCTCTGGCACAGCTGCTGTGGTTGGCTCTTCCTCCTGGGGTAAAACCTCAGAGTAAAATCTTGCAAACAGACCTGCGATTACTGGCCATACTTCCAGATTATTTTTAGTTTGTTCTTTGCAGCTGTGTTTATTCCTTGGGTAGTCTTTAAGTATTTTCCTAATTCGTGCTGCCATTGCTACTTTACCAAAGTAAAGACTTTGGTGCTGCCAAGATCTTCTTCACACTAACAAGGTAGCCTGAATCCAGAAACTACAGTCCTTGAAATAAAGGTGATGCTCCTGAAGAGAGCAACTCTGAGATATGCCTTTTCTGCTTTAGTCAAGTCCTCCTCAGACATCTTTACTGTTTCAGTGGTCAAGTCAAGACTTTCAAGACTTTAAATATACTTGCCTTGTAACAGTGAGATTGAATGTTGCTTGGCAGTGCTTTATGCCGTCTTGAAAATAGACCAATTCTCAAGAATTGGAACATTAGTGGGAAGGAAATGAGGTGAACTGTGGGAATTGTTGGACACCAAATTACAGAACTTTATAGCTTTCTGGTAGGTAATCTACAGTGTGCAGCAGGAAAAAAGAACCTGAATACACAATTCAGCCTAACACTGTAGCCTTGCAACAGGGAATGCCTGAGCCCTCTTTTGGAAATGCTGGTTCTGCATCACTGCACTGTTGCACAGCAGAAGTCTTGATCCACAGGATGGCTGTGGATGGCCCAGGCCAGCTTGCACAGTGATCTTTAAGATCAGTTGATGTTTGGTGAAGTGCCTTATTCATTGCTATGAAAGCTACAGTTCTTTGTGCCCTGATACTATGTACTCATGCTGTTTGTTATCTTTAGTGTCCCTTTATAGAATCACTGCATGGCTAGGAGATTTTAAAAAAGCGCTTGCTGCTGAGTATTTCCTTTTGGAACAGGAGTGGCTTAGAAAATTGATCTTAGAAGTTTGGGCTGTTACAGTGGGACTGGGGAGAGGCATTAGTGTGTCTGTGATACAGGGAAAACCACTCTGAAGGGTGGAAGGAGCAGGTGTACTGAATACTCCCCACTTGCAAAGCTGTGTTTGAGAAGCAGGCTTTCTAGAGCAGTGAGAATCCTCACAGGAAAATATAACTGAAAGTAAATGAGGTCCAGAGAGCAGAGTAGGAATAGTCTCCTTAAGAATTATTCCTCTGTTCACATAAAGGAATGCTATTGTCCCAGAAAAGCTTTGTCCTTAAAAGAATGACATTTGAAGTAAAACACCAACTTCCAGATACCTGTTTTAAAATGAACTTATTGCTCCCTAACTGCTGCTAGAAACTCCTGCTTCTCTTGCTCACCTAGAAGGGGTAAGTGCATATCCATGCTAAAAATGCAGATCTGTTCACTTGGAGACAACTTCTTTACTACTTTTCAAGCCTTAAGAAATACATTTGAGTAAGACTCTTTACTGTCCATTACAGGATGCTAACCAAACTTCATAAACAGTCTGTAATGCTTCTTACAGTAACATTTTCCAGTTTAAAATATCAGTGGAAAAATAAGGGTTCTGTTTGCAGCTGGAATTTTTCACCAAGAATGTTGCTTGAGTGGGAAGAGGGAAAAGGCCTTTAACTGATGGAAGTCATGAAGCCTCCGCTGATGTCATGCAAGTGGTGCTAAACTAACTGATGACTTGAGTGCATTAGGTGTGCTCCTTCTAGCTTAGTTTTGTCAAAAAGAAATCCAGTTTCAGCCACTTAAGACCACTTGTTAGTGTGCATCAGCCTGTGGTAAGTGACGGTGATGGAGAGATGTGCTTTTGAACCAGCTGGATATGCCAGCGTAGATGCATCTGCAGCTTCCATATTAGTATGCGGAATTGGGTTCTGTGTGAGGCTGTTGACCTTTTGATGAGTTACAAGGATTGTAAGAATCATTTATTTCAATAAGCTGGCGTGACAAGGAGAGTGAAGCATAGGAACCATTCAGTGTCCCCCAGGCATTCAGAAATAACAAGTTGGTGTTGTCCTTCCCTTTCCTCAAAAACCTAACCCTGGAGTTCATTTTAAGTTGCCTTCTGGCTTTCATCCCTTTTGGATAAAACTCAGCGTTTGTTCTCAGAGGGGGAGAGAACACTTTTTGTGTTGTTTGGTTGTTCCAGGGCTTGCCTTTTTTGCAAACTGATTTATTACTGGCTTTTACTTGGTTTGTCCTTAATACCTTTAGGACTGTGGAGCTCATCTAGTCTCTTAAAATGGAAAATTAGATCTTTTCAGAACAGAGCTGGAGTATGTACCTTCTAGGGCAAGCTTACTTCTGAGAACACCCAACAAGCTGCAAATGTGGCTTTTGTTGCCTTATACAGTGGTTAGTTTATCTGTGTTAGCTGAAAATGGGATCGGCTGGGGAAGAGAGCAGGAGGGAGGGGGCAAGGTGCAGCTCCTGCTGTTCATTTCTGAACTTTCAGATGCCCTTGAACCCTTCCTTCTGCCTGAGGGTCTGCTGCTGACCGGGGGTTGCTGCAGGGTGGTGTCCCCGATGTGAGCCGAGCAGCCGTCCTCACCGTGCTCTCGAGAAAGCCGATTCGGTGAGCGTTCTGATATTACCTTAAATCACCTCTTGATGCTAAGGGACGGATTTTAAAAGAACATAGTGTCATTTCAGTTCTGTTTGCACTGAGGTGTGCATCCTGCAATCGGTTACATTTGGCAGAGTGCAGCGGTTCTCTTACTACTATAAATCCGGGTTTAGCTGAACGGAATTTAGGGTTTATGCCCTGAGCTGCATTCGTGTCCGACTGAACAGTTGTGAATCTGCTGCAGGCCCCGACCCGCGGGAAGGGACCCGGGGAGCCCGGCCGCTACCGGGGGGCTGCGGCAGTGCAGCAAGCGCAGGGCCGAGGCATTTGGCAGCCGAGCTCCGGGGCGCTCTTCACATGGGTTTAACGTGCCAGGAGCAGTCCGGAGAGCTCTGAGCAGCCTTATCGCTCGCTGTCCGTGCAAGCGGGCGGAGCCCGGTCCCCACCCGCAGCGCTACCTTAAGGGGCCGGGATCCGTGCGGCGGGGGGTGGGATTTCCTGTGCCGGAGGTCAGCTGCTCCCGCCGCCCCGCCCCGCGCCCGGGTCCCGCTCTGCCCGCGCCGGAGGGACCCGCATCCTGCCGGCTCCCTCCTCTCGGGTCGGATTTACAGAGTGATGTGTAAGCTACAGGATGCCCAGCAGCACTGGAAAGAGGTTTAAACCTACTAAATACATCCCTGTCTCTACAGCAGCCGCCTTATTAGTGGGTTCGACTACTTTATTTTTTGTTTTCACGTAAGTACCGCTCCGGCGGAGGGGGGCCCGGGCGGGGGGAGGCGGCGGGGATTGACAGCTCCTCCAGGCCCTGCCGCTGCCGGTCCCGCTCCCTGTCTGCATCCCTGCCGCCTGCTGTCCCTTCCTTGCTTCTCATTGCGGAGGCTGATGATCTCTCCGTGCCATAAAGCGTATCTGACAGTCGGATCCTCCATTTCATGGCACACAAACGCTGCCGGACTCCTGCAGCTGCCGGCGGTGCACATCACAGGCTCCCGGTAGCGGCAGCCCCCCGCTTCCCCCGGTCTGTGCAAGCAGCGCTGGTGTCTGGGAGGGAAATGCATCTGCAGCCGCGGCCGCCCTGGTGCCGACAGGCGTGAACCAACCTCTGCTTCAGGAGGGCGAGCTGGCCTTTCCTTCGGTCTCCGCTGTGTTTCGGGGCTTATCCGGCAGAGCCTTTCGAAGTAGAGGGAATCCTGTTCTAAACGTTACGGATTCTACGTGTTTTTATGTAACTGCCCCTAAAAGCCTGAGGATCTAATGGGCAAATTCAGATTTGCTTGAAGGAGGGAGGGGGAAACTTTTTCCCCCTCCTCCCTGTTTCCTCTTCCCTCATTCCTTTCTCCCTTAAATGCAGAATTGAGCTCTGGCGGGCGGCTTGTGGATCTCCTGTAGTTCTATTAGTATGTGAGCAGTGTAGTGCTTCAGCTTTCTGTTTCTCCTCCTTTATATAAACTTGAGCTATGTAGATCGCCTCCCCTCCCTATGCTGGGGCAGCGGCAGCTTCCCTGCAGAGGCGTTGGTATTTCGAGAGAGATGCTACAGAACTCTGAAATGAGCTTTGGCTAAGCCGCTTTCTGGGGAGGAGAAAACAGCGCTGTTGGATATTAAGATTTATTGTTTCATTTATTTTGAAACCGTTTCCCTTTAATTTTCCCTTAATTTTTAACTGAACCCACTGAAGCTGTTAGAAGCAGAAGGCTATCAAACAGTGGGAGTACGTCTGTGTCCGTGTCCTTATGCTTCTTGGTTTGGCTGTGACGTGATTCTTCATGTTTCAAAATGCTCATTACTGGTACAATAATCTGAATGTAGGATTCCAGAATAAAATGCAAATGTTGTTTTGTCTAACAGTTTCATTAAATCAGAACAGATTTTGACACTTGAGTTATGCTCTTGACTTAATGTGACTTGATTTCTTATTGCCTGGTTTTAATGCATTTGATATAAAGTGCTGGTAAATCCTTTCAGGATATTGAACCGTTTCAAGAACTGGTACAAGCCCCAAGAACTGGTATAAATATAAGCCCATCATTCATCATTTGGACATCTAATTATAGTTTGGCACTCACGGGCAAACACAAGGCTGAAGTTGGCTTTTGGGATGAACTTGGTTGATGCGGGTGATGTGGATGTTTTTCAAATATAATATAAAGGTGGGATCTTAATGCCAGCATTTGTTTTTCCTGCACCTTGAGAAATGAATGCATGCTCAGGCTGTTTTGGAAGTTGTGTGTTTGCTTTCACATGATACTTCCAATGTGGAGTTACAAATTGCTAGCGATACAAGACTTTCTGGGTAACACAGTTGTTGTTGAAACATCCTTTTGGCAGCAGGACATCAACTGACATGTTCGTTTTAGGATTTGTTACTGTACGGAAGAAGCAATTTGCTTTAGTCTGTTACCAGATCTCCAACTTAACTCTGCTCCCTCTGTTATCAGTGAATAATTACATGCAAGATGAAGTATTTTTAGGCTCTCTCCATATTGTAACTTGGCCTGTGCATCTTGAAGTGTTAGTAATTTTTTCTGAGGACTGTCCCAGACATACGTTCTCTGCTTCTGCCAAGTCTCGTGTGTAATAAAAGTAACACATAATTGAGCAACTGTTGTCAGGCAGTATGTGGAGTCCTGTCCATTCAAAAATACTCAGATAAATGCGTATGGAATCACTGTTGTCTCTTACCCTGGGCAGTTCTAACAAAATCTATCTTTGTCTTGGAATCAAAGCAAGTACTATGCATGGGATCAGTGTCTTTTTACGTGACAGTGGGTATTTTCCCCTTTCTCAAGCATCTCCCATTTTTCTCTTTTTCCACAGGCAGTAGTTTGTCTCTGAAGATCTTTTTGTTGGGATACGTTATTAAAGGCTGAGGAGATAGACCTGAATTTTCAGGGGTGTTGATTTGCACAACTCTTTTGATGTTGGGTAGATCTCTGACATGCAGCATTTGAGGCACTGGCCTAAAATTGCTCTAACCAGTGTTACTGAATCAATCCATGCTTACTTTCATGGTGCAAGAACTTTATCAGCAGATTTACATGTATGTTTATTAATTCCTTATTTGTCATTAAGCCCTAAGGCTGCTTTGTCTGTTAATGAACTGACCTGTGCATCAATATGTGAAACTGGTGATGGATGGGTCTTGGATATCAAATTTTGGGTGCAGATCAGCTCAGTGGGATTATCAGGGACACGAGCAACTTCAGTGCAGTGGAACTGACTAATGAAGGTTAATGTATGTGGAAAAATTGAATAATAACTTTTTATAAACCATTTACTGAATATAAAAAGCAATCCTTGTAGGGTGCTGCAAACACTTCTGAGTGATAGGTATGAAAACCAGAGGTTCTGACTGGGCTTTCTCCCTAAACGTGTTTGTGGGCTCAAGCCACATGTTGTTAAGTGTCTTCTGCTGGATGAAAAGCCCTTTGAACTTAAAGGCCAGGGTCAGTTTTTAGCAGTAGAGCTTTTATTTTTAGCTTTTGTTCAAACAGCTTTGCTAAATGGCAGCATGTAAAGTGTGTTTGAAATACATGGTACCCACTGTTAGTTCATGGTAGTGTGGATCAGTGATACACTATAATTTGGGTAAATTCCATTATAGATTCTCCTTTTTTCCTCATCTAGCTATTTAGGATTCACTGTATCAGTGTTATATTCCTTCTGAATTTATGAGGGGGAACTGAACTATTTAGCTATCAAGATTATTGCCTGGAAAGGCAGCTAAATATTGCAGTTGTATTATCACGGGCTTGTAGCTCTCCATGTGTGTTCCTTTAATAATAAATACAAGCATGTGAGTAGGTGTCTAATTTGTCACAGTAGGAGAGGTAAACAAGCATTAACTGCAAGCATTATGAAGGAATGTATCAATATATAACGATTAGATTAATTTACTTGAAATCAAATGGCATCATGAAGGCAGAACCATTTTTTCTTAACATTGCAAGAATCCAGAATGATTCAGTTGTAGCAGACATGAACTTTTTTTCTACCCAAACCATTTTTCTTCATGTTTCTCATAAGGCTTTTTGTTAGAGATAGCAATTTAACCTATTTCAGTGAAGTCTGGACTCTTACGCCTTGGACTGGCAGCTGCTATGGTATGGTCGTTCAAAGAACCTGAGTTTTGAGAACTTCCTGCCTTATTTTAGGTTGTCTAACTTCAGTAATACTAGAGAATGCAGCTTAACTGTCAGTAAGCATAATGCTGTAAAGCATGTAATCCAATGAACTGTTGGACTTAACAATCTTAAAGGCTTTTTCCAACCTAAATGATTCCATGGTTTTTCTTGAGCTAGTAGTTCACTTGTTTAAATTGTGCTACTTACTGTAGTTTTTATTGCTGAGAGCCTCCAAGCTTAGCAGCTGCAGTGCCTGTATCTGTAGATTACACAGCAAGCTAAAAGCATAAGGTTTTAAGGAAAAACTGTGGCTTATTTTAGTAAGGAGGAAAAAAAAAAGCTCTTGATTCTCTCACTGAATGTTGTAGACTAGAAATTTCTGATAAAATACCCTTTTTCAGCCTGTGCTTTCAGTAGTATGCAGGCACTTGAGCATCTTTGAAACACAGCAGAAACACATAATTCACATCAAAGGTCCAGGTGCCACTACTTCTTTGATATAATGGTAGTAATGCTGCTGTATATTATTCCCTTCAACAGGATAATGAAATGGGTAATTTTCTGGGTTAAGGGAAAGCACAAATAAGGTGAAAACTCACTCAGTCACTACTGAAAATGAGACTTCAGCTTTGTTCTTGGAAGTCATAAATGGGAGGTAATCATAAGCATACTCCACAGACATATGCATTGGCACTCTAATGCAGTCTGTGGCACAGGGGAATTTAATACCAATAACATTCAGGAGACAACTGAGGAGTCATAAATTGGTGTAGAAGAGCAACTGAAGCTGAAGTCACAGTAGGGGTGGAAAGAAAGTAAGAGGAACAGCCTGTACCCTGCTATTCAGCTGGTAGAAGGAGGAAGCATGGCTGTACTCAGTAGCAGAGCTGGTGGATTTACCTTAGCAAGATTGAAAGCCTTGGGTTTATTCATGAATGTTTAAAAAAAAGTTGGTATTCCCCCCACATTTGTGTATCATGTTACTGTATTTCATGAACTAAAAAGACTTAAGCATTCCAGCAGTGGCTAAAACATCCAGGTTACCAGTATATGAATTCAGATACATTTCTATTATGACAAATGTTCTTCTTAAAGCATAAGCATGCCCACCCCCCATTATCTGATCCTGCACTAGAATAGCCCTAAAATAAATATGTAATAGCATTTTAAAGTTCAAAATTGTAGTAGCCATTCTAGATGGTAGTTAATGGAAATATAATTATATGTGTCCCTTAGATTCTTGGACTGTTTGTTAGATCTCATCTTCCCATGACTTGTATATGTTCATAGATTAAAAATGGGAAAGTATCATCTGTGGGTTTGAGTTGGGTTTGTTTAGTCACTAGCAAGAGGTCAAGCTAATAGAAGAAGGAGAAAAATGACTGCTACTGCTAAACCCAGGACAAACATCATCTTTGCTTTAGTGAATTTTGTCTCCAAAGATGTTCCTCTTACCTAAAGTATTTTAAGGACTTCACTGAACTCCAGTTCCAGATGTTCAGAACTTCTGCCAGGTCAGTGTTTTGATTTCAGTTAGAACAAATGTTAGAAAGTTATGTAAAATTTATATTGCAGATGTTAGGGAGCTTCATCTGTAACACAGGTGCATTTCATACCAGCCTAGAGGAAATAGAACTGAATACTGATATGTAGATGCACAAAAAAGAGAAAGTAAAGATATTAAATAGCTCGGGTTGTCCAGCATATGAAGATTAAACAGCATGAATTCTATCTTATGGTTTGGCCTCTGCCTAGTAACTTGCTGAAGACTGCTGGTAGATGTGGTGTAGCTCTGGTGGCTGTTGCTTGTGATGTGTGGTGCCAGGAGTTCAAGGTTTGCTGTAGTGTGTGTGAAAGCACGTGGATACATTGCCACTGCTTCTCTGCTTCCTCCTCGTACCACCTGTCAGTCACACCAGCTACCCTAGAAATTCTGGAATCTTTGCAAAACAAAGCTTGTCCTCCTTGTCTGTCTGTAGCCATTCTAGAGATTCATTTGATGTTGGTCATGCTAACTGTAAAAAAAGAACATATTCCCCCTTCTTGAACTTTCTAAACTGTACTTCAGTACTTGACGTATTCCTGGATTTCTGATAGATTTTCTTAATTTTTTATTTCTTTTTTTCTCACATGCCAAATCAAGACATTGCTGGAGCTGGTAGGGAGCAGCTTCAGAAAGCAGACATTCACTGACAGTAAATGACACTATATAGAGGAAGAAGAGTGTGCAAAAAAGGCGTGTGTTGGTTTAATCAGTGAATTTCAAAACTGACTTCACAAATAAACGGTGATTTCAAGTAGTGCATTTCAGCCTTCTGAGGTATCTTAACATTTTCCATCTTAAACGCATCTTTAATAGCAGGTTCTTCCTGTCCACTCTTCTTGTGATCCAGAAAAGGTAAAGCTTGCCAGACTGACCTGAGTCATCTCAGTTGTCATGTCTGTCAGCTTCTGAAAAATATTTATTCTTGTTGTGACAAAGAAATGTCCTTTTAAGCTGTGGCAGTTTCATCTTGGTATAGAACTTCTGTAAAAAGAATCTAGATAAACTTGTCATGCAAGATAAAAAGGCAATCTCAGCAGGAAAATCCATTAAGCTGAAGTGTGAAAAGTTATGTTGGTTTCTTTTAATATGCCAGAAGAGAGCTCAGTTCTACTGCTTTTATCTAGTTGATTCTATCATCTCTGCTTCCAAGCAGCCAGCAGAGCTGGCAATACAGGACACTTTTGAAAGCTATTGAAATTCATTCCTTTAGAAAACCCCCATTGATATTTATTATTAACAGGAATATTTTTTTCTTCCTGTAGTCTGGGAGAGGGAGAAGGAGAACCATGTTTGTTGATGGGAGTCCATAGGTAGACATCCTCAGCTGGGGATGCACAGCTACCCACATGCAGCCATCAGAATGGCATGTCAATGCTCACTGTAGATCTAGTTTTAAAGGCAGAAGAACTAATGCAATAGAAGTTATTCCTGTTCATGGGCTATGCACAGCTGCGGTTCACTGTGTGATTTATGCCAATAACAACCTCCTTCCTATTTTTCCTAATGAGCAGAGATAAAGGAGGTATGGAAACAGGAATGAGTGTCTCAATTAGATCAGGGTGGGCCTCTCAGCCTTTGTACATGAATATACAAGCCATTTTTCTATTTTTTTTTAAAGTCGCTTTCAAAACACTAATTGGAATACTGTCCATGTTTGCCCAAGAATGCCACACATGTATCTTTTTATAAATAGAAGCAATCTCTATAAAATTGCTCCAACAACATGGGAATTCAATTGGCTTATTGGTAATGCAAGCTAAGGGATGCTGGTGTTCTAAACACAAGTAAAACTTAAATTGGAGAGACAGATACATGTGGTGTCCTTAAGAGGTCTGATTTTTGAGGTTCATTACCTGGGATAGTTGTTAATTACACACTTAAGGTTTTTGTGTAAACAACTTACTTTGTTAGTGGGTGCTTCTTATCTGAAATCAGATGTAGAACACTGTGGTGTGGGGATGTGTGGGACCTGTGAAAGGTAACCTGGAACAGGTTCTCTGTTACTAAGTGTACAAGGAAACCTTTCAAGGCCTACAAAGGGAAACCATTAAGTTCTGTTTACCTTGCATTAGAAGATGTCTGAAATACAATATAAGGTGGTGTAAGCCAATCTAGAGCATGAAATAGAGGCATACTGGAGTGGGGAAAAGTATCTTAAAAGCTGAATTGGTAGTACCTTTGTGTAACCAGGGCAAAAATAGAATACTGATTTACTGCTCTTTGATTTGAGCCAGTAGATACAAGACCTCTTTCTCACTAATTCAAGAGTAATGTTCAATTTGGCTGCACTGTTAGAGAGCTACTATTAGTTGGTCATTTGTCAGTGGGAGCTGCTAATGAAATTGAAAGGAAGAGGCACGGGGGCTGAAACAGTAATGCTGCAGGTTTAAAAGGAAATTCTGCCTTCTTCTTCTGCCAGGAATAGTGGAGATTGGAAAAATGTAGCCCGCCTAAATCTTATTTTACCATAGGAGAGGTGGTTTTGGGGATCCCTGCTTGGTGATTGTCTAATTAATTCAAATGAGTACACCACAGCACAGTGTATACTATGTAAATCTGCAACCCCGTAATCTGTACCCAGAAAGAGGATTTAATTACTCGGTGATTGTTCTTCCACAATTACTAAGGCAGTTTAGCTAGACTTGCTCCAAAGCTGTCCAAAGAGCCTCAAATTCTGAGCTCCAAACCTATTACACAGACATTAGTGGGTGCTTGACTCTTTGTTTTTCTCTTGAGGGATGTTATAGAGTAAACTGTCCAGTAACCCATACTTGGGTATCACAGTGGTTACCATGGTTTTCTGTTTGTGAAGGTGTAAACACAGAATCTGTGGACTTAAAATGTGAAATCCTTATGAAATATCTGTACTCTAGTGCTCTGTGTTGAGATCATCCAGTAACAGAGGACAGTGGAGCCAGGTGCAGGAAAGAGACCTCTTGAATTTTAGATCTAAACACCAAAGCAGCTGCTGCCAGCACACACGTGCACCATTTTGTTATGCACTTTAATGCTGTGTGAAGTCACATAATTGGGAAATGCTGCCCTTTGTGCTGGAAAACTACAAGCTCTATGGAGCAGGGCAGGCAATATGAAGATGGAAATACATGAAATATGGATTCTTGTCAAACCACATATAGAATGATGTCATTTTTTTGATGAAGGGAGACGTTCACAGGGGCACGCTACTCAGTAATACATGGAAATAAGGTTTGTATGTGCCACTTTGAAATGACTGTTCTCCAGAAAACCCCTGTATGCACTCAGACTAAACTAATCACAGAACAGTCTTAAATGAACAAATTACTTTTTAAGTTGGAGCCTAACAAAGCAAACTTGAAACTGCTTAAATATATAAGGACTTTCGTAAAAGGCAATGCAAAACCTTACTCTCTCAGGATTCCTAAAACTAAATTGGCATTTATATTAGCTCTCTTGCATGTCTTCAGGGAAATAATCCAATGTAATATCTATATCAACACAATTTAAGTATGGTGCTGGGAATAAGGAAAGCTTGGACGTTTTTATAAACAAGCATCATTTTAATTTAAACTTGAGTCAATCACAGTAATGCTTCAAAATGGAAAAGTTCAGCTTAAAACTTTTCTGCCTACTCTGATCTCAGTTGGCTAGGAGATGCAGGTATTTTCTCATGGAAAAACACTTCCTCTCCCCCATTTTCAGCCAGTTCAGTTTCAAAAATTATTTGGGATTATTTTTACTGTGTATAACCTCCCTCTCAATTTTTTTCTCATGAGTGAGATCTCATTTTGCATGTTTAGCTTTCTCTGAAGATTAATGTTTGCCATAGCAGTAAGACTCTCCAGATGTGTTATGATCTAATAACACTGTGGTTAACCCTTGTCTGCTGTCAGCAGCTTGCTGAACCACCTCATGTGTTTTACCAAACCCCAGCTTTTGATTATGCACTTTCTTGGCTCCAAGCAGCAGGAGCCATTAGTTGAGTGGGTGGGCACGCTCTGCCTCCATGGGAGTTGTATCCACCAGCGGGCTCTGGAACCTCTGCCCAGAGACTTCCCCCTGGAACCCTGCTGTTAACGTGGCTTTTCCTCTTAACATTCCAAGCACAATA